GGTGGGCTGAGGCACGGATGGACCGGGCTCCAGAGTCACTCCCCGCCCCACAGTCGATTCCCCCGAAGCTCTTGGTCCAGACCCCGCCTGACGGCAACCGGGCGAAGCACTGTGCTCGCAATTGCCATATGTGACGTCACGTGATTGGGGGCAATGCGTGAAGTGACTTTCGTTTATACTAATTCCCACACGTAGGATCGAATCGCTTACTGTGTTTGGCAGTGCATCCGCTTGGCGTCACGCGGACGCGTCTCACGCAGTGTTGTTTCAGACGTCAGGCCCTCACCGCAGAACATTTTATAGTTCGTTCCGCAATTAACTTAAAGATAAATAACTCTAGGGAGCCCCTGATGCCTCACACACTACCCGATCACAGTGAAAAGGGCTTCCCCTATTTATTACACACTAGACTGCTATCAATAGGGGACGGTGCAGTACGCGATTTACCTTTGCGGGCGCAGGGTTGTGGGGAAATGAGGACGCAAAGGGCAGATCTGCCTCTAGAGGGGGCGAACGGCAGGGGCGTGGCAATCTTGAAACCATTAACGGAATCCTGAATGTGGTAATGAGTTACATCGTTCCTGTGGTGGATTGCGGAAACGGCTGAAGTGGTCGTGTCCATATTGGATGAGTGAATTAGCATCCTTGCAGGCGACAAAACATTCGACACATTCGTCATGTCGCGTGTCTCTGCTGAACTCAGATAATCAAACGGCGCCCCCCTGCTAGCGGGCTACACTGTCAATATTGGATGTTATGGGCGGATCGTGGTGTGCGTATCAATAGGGCAAAATGTCACGACCGTGCACCAGGCCTGCAGCAAATTGCAGTGAAACTGGTCACATGGCTCAGCCTTTTCCGCCGTGAAGGATTGGATATTACCAGATGGGCCACTTCAACATGCAGAGCCGTCCCGCAACGACATGTCAAAGTGAAGCGGTGCTCGCGGTGGGGCAACAAAACATGGCAGAATTTAATGCCTGCACCATTCCTTGGTCCGTTTGTTGCATTGGACGCGATGTGCGCAATCTTCAAACCCATTTTAGCAATCGGACTTGCGGAATACCAAATACAAGTTCTTGAAGCTCAAATGGAAAGAAGAATTTTGAATGATCAAATGTTTTCAACGGACGAATTTCACTAAGGAGCAGCTTTCATTCGGCCTGTTGGTGTTGTCGTTGATTCGTTAGTGAAGTCGCTGTCGCTGAAGTGCACTGACGACTGCCATTATCAAGTTTCCACTCATCGGACACTTCAGGGTAAGGGAAGATGCTATGTAGATTTTGGTACGCTTAGCGCCAAATTGACACTAAAATCATCCCCCCCCGCACCCCACCCCACCGTCAATCCTTATGCCGATGGCTCAGCAGCATCGCCAAATAACGCGATACAGCTTTGAAAATGTTTCTGAGGAATACTATTGCCAGGTTTGCAGCGATTGTACTGGACCGAAATGGGATTGTAAAGGCCACAGCAAGTGAAGGGGGCAGCCCTAAAGGCGGTCAGATGGGATAACATAGTGCCTTTTAAAGATTGGTCAGTTGCGGGAGGTTTTCGAGCAAGCCGTAAGTGGTTTGCCATTGATCAAGGGCGTTAGGGGCACGTCCACAACTTATATCGATTTTGCGGCAATTGCATAGTATCTCAGCGTCATAGATCTGGCACCCTCCCCCACCCAAACCCATCAACCCTCTTAGGTAAGACATTATTTTTTGAATTCGGTGCTCTTAGCGTCAAACGGACCCTAACGGGGTGGGAGTGGGGTGATGGGCCCGGCCATGGACGCCAATATATTATGTGATTGCACTGAAATCAACATAAGGTAAGATGATCCCCAAGCAAGCGACAAACAACTCATGACTTGTTCCAAAACTTCTCTAAAGCATCCAGGCTTCAATAAGGTCGCTAGAAATGATCTATTCACCGTCTTCGGCGCTGCTCCCATTGTTCTTCATGGCTTTAGCATCCCTTTGTTAACCTACTGCGATTGCTACAACTCGGACGGTTTTCTTCCAACAACCATCTTGATGGCGTATCATTAGGTGATGTTGATGAGTCATCCTTGGGAGAAGGGGGCGCTGAGCTCGGCGTCCACTTGACGTTAAGCGTGCAAAGTTCAAAACATTATCTTTCCAAGACACACCGCTTCTTCAGGAAGACCCTATTTTCCCCACTTCAGTCGTGATTTGCGTTGGATGGCCGCTTTGAGTCGGTTGGAGGTGGACTTGGTGTCACAGTTCATATCAGGACACTATCGCACTGGGGCATATCTGCATCGTTTCGGGCGTCGGGATGACCGCCATTGTCAGTGGTGTGATGCGTTGGTCGATGACCGTGAGCATCGCCTTTTCCAGTGTCCTCGCTTCACTGTCCTTCGCCAGCGGCTCCGTTCGATGGTCTATGCTGAGAGTCAAGGCGTCAATGATTGGACATGGGAGTATCTACTGGGGCCAGGTCGACGGTTTCTTGCTCAGTTCCTTCGGGCAGCTCGGTCAGCTGAGCACGAGTGACGGTCTGCTCATGTTCGGTCCGTTGGGTTCTTTGGATGATGGACGGTTTTCTTGGCGGTAGTTTAGGATATGCTGATTGTTCATTTTTCTGCTGTAACATCAGGAAGGAAAAAAAATGTATATTGGACTTGGTTTGAGGGATCAGGTGTTGTTGAATGTAGTGGCTGAGTCTGGGTGATATATAGGCAGGTCCTTGGGAACCTTGGCTGCACCCGGCTCACTTTTCATAGGCACCTAGGCATGCTGCCTGGCTGGCTGTGTTATGTATGCTCGCTCTTGCTTCGGAGGCTCTATATCATCTTTTCATGGGATGGAACAGAGCCTGACACACACTTGCCTAGGAGGGGGTGCCCTTTGTATGACCTGTTTCTCTTTCCCTTTTGTAACAAAACTTACCCACCCACCCACCCACCCCCTTTCCTTGGCGTCAATCTTTATTTCGATGCCAGGATGACTCAGCAACACTACATAACAATGCCGTACAACTTCAAAACAGTTTTGAGGGAAAAAACAGCCAGTTGCAACCAGTTGCAGCGGTTGCGGTGATTTGAAAAATGGGATGCCAAGTTGTGAGCTATTTGCCACGGATCAGTCGCGTTTTCGTGCACCTTCCCAGCCTTTTTTGATTTCAGTGCAATTAAATACTCTCTTAGCGTCAATGATTTGAACCCTTCCCGCCCCCAAACGTCAATTTGACTCTCCCCTTAGCGTCACATTGATGCTAGGCGTACCCAAATTCGACATTGTGCCTTCCCTAGGGTGAGACACTAGTTTGATTGTGGTACGATTAGCGCCTAAAATCAGTACACGGTTCTGACCAATAGTACTGTGAAAGTTCTGGCGTCCGGTTGTCGCAGCGTCCTGGGCCTTGCCGGTCCGGTGCAGCACGCCGCCATCAAAAGCCCCGCCTACCACCCAATCAGGCAAGATCCACTGGCCCCATTGCCGTTCCCCGCTCCACAGCAACCCCGACAATGCTCACTCAAGGGGTGCAGCAGTGGCTCACCCTGCTAAATGAGCCAGCCGTTGCATCTACCTGGATTGACAAGGGAGCACGGTCCATTGCCGCTGCCAGCTGCGCTTGATCGTACATGGCTATCGCGCACATGAGCTTCCCACAACAGTCCACGTCGCGACCCTACTCTCCGCAGTTTCTCCCATTGCATGCACTTCCCCTCGTTCCATCCGCAGATCGCCAATTCATGACACGCTAGGCCGGCAATGACAAGGCCTCAGTCAACGTTTGGCAGCTGTTGCTGGTGGCCAATGTTTCTGCCCCATTGGAATGTCAGCGGGATTGTGCGCACGTCTCACCAACCTTTCCCATGGACCTGCGCCCTGTGACGGCAGTGCACCAAACCACCATGTCTGACATGTGCACAAGTGCAGGCACACCGAAAAGGATGTGTCTGGCGGCGACACCTGTGCATAACGAGCCGTCACCTCTTGTGATAGCTAACGCAGGTTGGACTATGTACACTTCAACCTGTGATAGCCATCATAAGGTTGACTGCTCGTTGTGGAAGTCACCTCTTGTAGATTGGCCCGCTATCCCAGGTTGCAATACCACCACGGTAGCCACGTACGTTGAGCACTGCCCTTTTGACGCCATTGTAGACTTTCTCTCAGTGGAATATCTCATTAAAGCTACATCCTGGAAATAGAAGCTAGACTGTGGCCAAGTTGCACGTGGGATGCAGCCGAGGTGGCCCATATGGTCACCACATTCGCCACTGCTTTCAAAGCAATGTGCATGCCCAATGGCTGCCTATGACCTCCTAAGATAGGTTATCCATGAGCGTAATGTGAAGAGGTGCAGATTAGAAGCATCCTGCTCAGGGGTCTAGACAATGTCCTTGTTAGGAACTGGGGCACACTCAGCGTGGTAGTTACAAACCTGGTAGTTCGAATTTCAGATGAACGAAGCCAGCATCATTCGGTCCTCTCCTTTTAAATGGTTGAATGCAGCACAATATTGCCAGTGACAAACCTGCACGAAGAGGGGCGTGTGGATCGAGGGATGAGCACCTTTTAGCAACAGCTGACAAAGAAATATTCTTCGCTTGGGGCGCGTTCACGTGCAGGCCACTGTTGATGTGTGTTGGCGGTTAAAACTGACGCACGTGATCAGGATTGATATGGTTGAGGCACATACCTTAAGCCAGTTGAGGAACCCTACTCAACCACCTCGTTCTCTCACGACAGCCCTCCTGGCATTTCATTGACCTGGTCTGGCATGAAAGGCGCTAGTGGCTGCTGGGGCACTGGAAGCAGAGAATTCATCGGTCACTGTAAAACTGGTTTTTGTCTCAAGCATGTTTAATCGGTGATAATCGCACACCAGCAGTAGAAATCGGACTGAAGCGTGCAGCCCTGATCTTATTTCTTGGGACAGTTTTCACATGTGCCAAGAAACGGATGCTGTGACTGGCAAGTGTGCACATGAAGAGCAACTCGTCCCATAAAAGTACATAATCCCTTTTCCCCAACTCAGCCATCAGCTCTGTCACTTCTCGAGGCGTCTTTACCTGCAGGTTCCCTGATAACATACCCAGGATCCGCCAGTTTTGGAATCTTGCTCCTCAGCTTGTGGTCTGCCATGGCAGCCCCCTGCTCGGACTGGTCCTGTGCCGGCCAGGCGGCCGGACGCCGCACAGGGATCCGCGTGGCCCCAAGGGCAGGGATCTTGGTCGGGGGCTCTTTGTTTGGGGATACAGACCTTGCTGGGGACGAGGGGGCGGTGCCTTGGGACTGTTTCAAAGGCACGGTGGGTGCCTTCCTGTTCGGGGCCTGCCCCATTGTGAACTTGGGGCCGCCCTCCCCACCGTCGTCCCCACCATCGTTCTTGCAGCCCCGGCAAGCGTCACACAGCACCTCCCGTGGTGGGGCCTGCAGCTGGTGGACGAACTCCCTGGAAGGCAGCACTTCCCCCTGGCGCCTCTCAGGCAGCTTAGGAGTCCCGTCATCCCACTGCAGCTTCTCCTCTAGCACAACTGCTGCTCCCTGGATCAGGTCTTTTGCCGATGCAGAGTGCAGGGCCCCAAAATCCAGCACCAGCTGGTGGCCTGCTTGAATGCTGGCATCGGCTTGGCTCATGCACAGCTGCCCCGCCTGGAGGTCGGCTTCTACCTGCATTTCGCACTCTCCCCTCAACCCAGAAAGCTGCTTCTCAAAAGTGAGGGTTTGATCTTCAGCCTGTGCCACCACCCTGTTGGCCTGACCCTGAGCTTGTTCCGACATGCCTTTCATGGAGGCCATGCGGTCATTTATCATGGTAAGGCCTTCTCTGAGCGCAGCTCGTGATGAGGCATGCAGCCGCTGCTCAGACTCGGAGCACAAGTTTATCCCTTCAGCCACCTTTGCAGCTGCTGCTGGAAGGCCGTCGAAAAAAGTGTTGGCTTCGACCTCCAGCCTATCTGCATGCTCCTGCAGTACATACAACAATGTTCTTGTGAAACATATTAACATGGGCAAGCATGTGGATATGAATGAATGCCCACAGAAAATGGCAAAAAATCTGCCTGTAAGGTGCGTTGCCTGCCCTCTCAACTATGCCACTGCTGCAGCCCTTCTACTCGTGCAGCGATCGCAGCCAGAGGTGGAGGGTATCCACTGTTGATCCACACACTGCCCTTCATCACCTCAGGGGCCATAGCACAAATCGATGACATGGACAACAGCAATCAAAAGAATTGCACAAGAAACAGCTAAAAATTACTTTTCAAGTGAAGGACTGCCATGGCAAACTCACCTGGACCTGATTGCCAAGTGCGATGACTCCTCTGCAATGCACATCACATGCCTCCATTCCCTTCCGCTGCTTCGCTGCCACTTCGTCCTGAGTAACGTCCATTGCCTCCTTGATCGTGGCAGAGAAGGACGAAACCAACTGGCCAATCCTGTTGCTTAACTCTTGTGTCAATTCCCTGCCAGTTTCTGCCATCGAGTCCTGGTATCGTCGGGCCAGAGATTCCAGAGCGTTGCGGTTCTCATCAATGCTGTGTTCCACAGTCGCCCGTATTTCGGCTGCAGATCTTTTCACCCCGGACAGCCTGACCCTGACGTCAGAGTGGCTGCTCCTTGTCGTGTCAACAATCTTTTCCACCTCCTTCTTCTGATCGGCTGCCAATTGCTGAAGCAGGGCACTGTGCTTGTGCACAGTGGCATCAAATTGTTCATGTGCTTCTGTGCACTTTTGCTGTCCACCCTTGAGAATGGCATCAGCATTCTTTGCACATGCACTTGCCAAATTCACCATGTTTTCAGCAGTGGCATTCCCGACAGAATGCAACTCACGGACAGTGGATCCCAAAGTCGTCCCCATGTTGTCCTCTGCAGATTGAAGCTCAGAGATTTTGTTCTTGAGGCCCTCGGCGTGCTCTTGTCTCTGTGCTGCAAAGTCTTTTAGGCACTTGGCAGTAGCAACAGACCGCTGTTTGTGCGAGTCAAGCACTTGATCGGCGTTGTTGCTCATGCTGTTTAAGCGATCGGTCAATAGCTGCTTCAGCTGGCATGCCAGTTCTCGGTTTGTTGAGTCGATGGTTGCAAAACGATCCAGCTTTGAGAAGAGGACCTCAGATTCTTGCGCCCACCTAAAGAACATGACACATTGGTGTCAATCCACCCCTGCCTTTGTACTTGTCAGTGTCAAACGGGCCACACAGGCAGCCTGCAACATTTTCTTTGCACAATGAGCAAAGCCAGCCCTGTAACTGTGGTGGATATGCCAGCTTAATGCAAGTGCACAGCGCATGCAAAGCTCTCCCACTCCGCTCATGACCTCCTGCGCAATCTTGTGATGTGTAATTAAACTCACAAAACTTCTTGCTTGTGGTGGTGGTGGTGGTGGTGAGGGGTGGGGGGTGGGGGGGGGGGGAGGGGGTTCTAGCAAATAGAGTTACTCCTCTATATGTGTGTTCATATATACCTCCCTATCTTTAGAGACAAAGCAGGCAGAACGAATCTTCTGCCAATGCGAAACACACCACACAAGGCCACGCACCTGTGGTGACCGCCCAGCAACAATGGGACCCAACACAGCGACGACATGCAAATAGTACGACAAAATAGAAAACAACACGATATTCACACCTGTGTATGTCGTCTGTGAGGCCTACACAGTGCACAACGAGAGCTGCTTCGCCCTTCCTGAGTGCTGTGTTGACAAAACACTCCTCTTCCAGTCTCTCTTGTGTCCCTGCAAGTTCCAACTCCAATTCTTGTTTTCTCTCCTCAACTACAGCCTGTTTGGCGACCAGTTCCATCTCCTTCGTTCGAAACTGCTCCCTGAGGTCTTGCATCTGCAATAAGATGGCACATAGTTGTGGGAGGGTTGCACGTGCATACCCAGGCTTTGCCAATGCTGTGCACATGATGATCCTGTGGCCAGAGTTGCAACACCATATGGCGCTCTATACCCAAGGTAGATGCAGGGAAACGTAAGCCCGTGCACGAATTGCAGGACAGGGAAATGACACAATCCAACGCTCGTTATTCCAAGCAAGCCTATAATTGACGACCCAGATGTCTTAAATTGTTGGTTGCACTCCCACCTCCATTGCTTTAGCCTCTATCTGTTCTTCCAGGCTGCTCAGTTTCTGTGCCATAGCACTGTGGTGCAGCTCTGTCTCTTGGTACCTCTCCAATGGAACAAACACTCCATTCTTAGTCCTCTGGGCAAGCAGCTCCTCCTTGAGGTGTTCGATCTCAACAGTCAGCTCCCTAATCATCGTCGTCTTGGATATTTTCTGGTTAATTTCAGGCCTATTGCGAATATTTTTCGCACGATGGGCGTAATCCAGCGTGCTCAGTGTCTCCTCATGGCACATTGCAGTGGGAGATATTGTGGCAATTATGCATGTCTTCGTCCTGCCACCCAAGGAGTCACGCAGGAGGCGGGTGAGCTTGCTGTCGCGATATGGAATGTGGCCTGAATGCTCGACAAGCGTGTTGATAACACGTCCAAGCGTCAGCAGGGACTGGTTGATGGACCCCGCTTCCCTTGCCCGACCATCTTTTGCGCCTGATCGTGATATGCATTCCGACCCAGCCAGGTCGACTAAGTTCAATTTCCCGATCTTGACCACGTCCTCCCCTTCGCTTGTTGTCTCCTTGATGTGTATCGTAATTGTGAAGATACTGTGAGACCGGCTTGACTGCTTGTTCAGCAGCGTCTCAGCTTTCACCCTCTTTGCTGAGCCACGCTCTAAAACCTGTGGCAAGCAGGGGCACAAAGAACCTGAATGGTTGCTATTTCATGCGCGCACAAGATATATCATATGTCATAAGCCTCCAGGCTTACAGGTCTGCCAACACATCTCATCTGTGGCTTGAGAGGCCAACCATCCACTGTGGCTGGTCGCCCCCAACCAAGGCCTGTCCAAGTTGTACTTGCCCGCCTGCATTCAGCTTGGGAACGCCACGAAATGCATGCACATGAAAAGCTAACCAATGCCCACACACCTGATAGATTTCTGCGGCATCGTTCACAATGCAGTCCTCCAGCCCCTGCACCACCACCCCCGTCTTGTCCTCCATAATCTTCAGCTTGCTGCGCGCGGCCTGCTGCATGCCATCATCCACGTCCAGCAGATCCGTCAGCTCTTCGTTGTACACCTCCAGGAAGCTCACCCGGACCGATGAGTCGATCTGGCTCCTCTCCAGGTGGTCGAAAATCTGTTTTACAGCCCGCGGAATGACCCCCGCATCGTTGGGCAGGTCACCCTCGGAGGCCCCACAGTTGGCGCCCTCCATCGTGTACGTCTTGCCCGTTCCCGTCTGGCCGTAGGCGAAGATGGTGCAATTGAATCCCTGCAGCGCCTCCGCCACGATCGGCACAATGGCCTGGTCGTAAAGGCTGGTCTGGTTGGCGCCCGGGCCGAAGACCTGCAGGGGCAAGCCACGTTCCGAATTCTTGACGTCTCAGGCGCAGCTGGCGGCGACGCACCCCGCAGGGCTCGAGGCGCGCAGCGTTCCTGAAGGCACCGCGCTGGCCATAAGCTAGAAGGCCACAGAGCAGTGCAGAGGACGCCAAACGCGGCTCATCGCGCCCCGACACTGTGCGGGTTGTGTCGAATCAAGGCGTCAACAGCGGGCCGCGGGGAGCGCTCATGCCGCCATCACGCCTGGCAGGCGAGCATCGACGGCGTCGGGAGAACAAGACCTGCCCTCGCTCAGGAGCTGCTCCAGCAGGCTTGTCTGCTGCGGGTGTGAGCGGGGCCCTGATTCGCTAAACCTCCATTCCCGAACGCCGGACGCCGGGGATGAAGCCGCAGCGGGCAGGCTGCCCTGCCAGAGATTGGGGGTTGATGGCCGGCAAGACCGGCAGGCTGGCTGTACCTTGTCGAACATGAACGTGCGGCTCTGCTGTTTTCCGGCAACGTTTTGGTGAAGGACGACCTCGCGGCGGGATTCGTAGCAGCTAACCACCTCAGGTGACCGCCCCTCGATGCCGTTCCTGGGCCTAGGCACGCAATACAAACATTGTGGCAAGCCGGGAGACGCGCGCCTCCCCGCATGGCAACCGATTGGGCTGTCTGCAAACACCATATTGCGGGCTGGTCCACCTGCAGCGAAGCACAACTTGAACGTTGACGCCATCTTTGGAGCCGCCCTTGCTGCTGCTCCCAGACGCCATGGCCCCGCCCTGCGAGGAGCTGTAAAAAGGCGAGGCTGCCGCGCCTTGCCTCCAGCCGCTGCCAGGCCCACCCCCCAAGCTGACACGCGCCTTGGATCCCTGCTGCTGCGCGGGAAGAGTTTCTGGCAGACAGATTCTGCAGCAGCTCATTTGCTGCTCATTAAGCTCCGCGACTCTCGACCAAGGTCAAATGGCGAACTTTGGATTCATGAGCACCATTAGTCACGATCAGGCAGCCGCCACAGCCTGCATCCCGCTGGGTCACCACACATGCCTCAACCACGCAATTCCAATCAAATCTTCATTGGCTTGCGATGACCGCCACCATCATGTGCTTTCCTGGGCCCGACTGGAAAGGAAGCAAACACAAAAAATCCAGCGACGCACAACCTTTGCTCGGATGCGCCTTTCCGAAGAATCCTCTGCTCCCACGGCGACGTCATCTTCGCCACAATCTGCAAGCTGCCCACCGCGGCATCATCAAACGGCCGGGCGCAGACATCAGCCGTCATCCCCATCACAGACAAAGTGGCTGCGCAACATCAAGTCCACCATTAGGGCATCCTGAAACCCAAAGTCTGGGGTAAATTAATTGCGAACATGGCAGAAATTGAGCGCATTCCGCGCACAGTGGCTGCCGCTTGAATTTCACCCACCGAGCCACGGCGCATAGGGTGATGAGGCTACCAGCGCGTCAGCCGTTCCCGAACTGGGAGCCAATTCGCGTCTCCCGGTGGTGGCCACTGGGCGCTTCGCCGGAGGCGGCGCAGGGCGCCGAGCTGCAGCATGCAGGCGGTTGCAGAGGGGACAATGTGGCCTTGCTGCTCCCTGCGGGCGCCAAATCCGTGGCTGGGTAGGCCATCGGCGCTTTCTTATCCTTATCAAACGACGTTTTTTGCTCTTCTAACCCCCGTTGCCTACCGTACGTACAGTAATCATTGGTATGTACCCGAAAGTTTGGGGTTTGGGGCCAAAACCTGTTTCAAGCCAGCTTCAGTCCGGTTGGAAGCATACCCCGCCACGGCAGGAGTTCTTGGCACCCCACATAAGTGCGCGATGGCAGAGCATGCCTTGAAGGTGGCAGTGGATCGTGCAGCGCTTCTGGCGCACCCCGAAAAAGTGCTCCAACTGGACAATTGGTCGGAAGCTTTGGTTCAAGCGCCATGCAACGTTGATTCACACCCGTCTATGCACATGGAGTTTGCCTGTGCCCTCTGGCGGTCTTTCGCCCAGGTGACCACCGCTTGTTCTTGCTGTGCACGCAAATGGACGTTGTGAGTTGGGAGTTGGGACAATTTGAAAGGGTGTGGACACGGCCTACTGGATTGTCACTTGAAGTCCCTTGAAACAGGGGCACTTGTTGAAGGGGCCACTGCTAGGACTCGCATTCTAAGGAGGCATGGTGCGGGTTCCCGCCAAGCTCCAAACTATTCTCTGAACTGCCACAGGATGTCCTTCTGCCCTTCTAGTGTCGTTGAAACCAGTCCACTCATTTTGTGGAAGTGTTGGTTCATGAAGCAAGCTGGCTCCCTCAGCGCTGTTCTGTGGTTGAAAATGCAGGTGTTGTCATCAAGTTGTTCTCGAGGGCTTTGATGTTGATGTTGATGCGCTCGTGCAACGTGACGGACTGACATGAACTAAGTAGTTCACTGTAGTTCACAGTAGTTCACTGCCGTTCTGGCCTTCACACAGAAAGGCATATTTGTTGGAGGAGACTATCAAGGATGCCCTGCTCCAGTAGAGCTGCTGTGTCAGCTTTGCTCCAGACCTCCGTCTCAGTGGCTCCAAAGAGGCAGCCACCTCCGCCAGGGACGTCACCAACGTGGATCGATGGTCTGTGGATCGATGGTCTGTGGCTGGTGTTCATCGCCAGCAAGTCCCTCACCTCCTCCTGCAGGTGCACAAACAACCACACACACAATTCACTACTGCCACCAGGAATCGAACCAGCAGGGACTTCACGAACGTGGATCGCTGGCCTGTGGCTGATGTCCATCACCAGCAACTCCCTCACCTCCTGCTACAGGTGCAAAAACAATCACACACGCAATTCACAATAGCCACCACGAATCGAACCACCTGGTCCGCGAATGGGCTGCACTTGTGGTTAGCAGCGGTAGGCAAGCATTTTTTGGATGTCACACGCTCTTTTGCGTTCTTGGCATAGTGTGAAAGCCCACAGCCCAGCCTGCAGGGTTGGGAAAATCAGCAGTGAAGTGACATGGCGAAAGCATTGACTTTCGCAACATCTCCGACAGTACTGAAACTGCACCTTTCGCTCTCCTTAGCAGGAGGATAGGGGCGCCCAGTGCACGACATGTTCCTCTATGCTGACACACTACCTTCGGTAAGGCACGTCAGACCGACCCATCCCCGCCGCATTCCGGCCAGGGCGCAATCCCCCGGTCGCGGAGCTGGCCACGCCCAGCCCATGCACGCGCGGAACTGGCAGCAGGGGCCGCGACGCAGTGGGCCGGCACCCACTTTGTGAATCTCCTTAAAGGTGGCGCGCACGTTGCACTCCACGTCCTCTGGCGGTTCAGCCTCTCGAAAATGAGGTCCAGCACCTGTGGGCACGACACCCTGGGCCCCCCAAGCGTGTAGGCCGATCCCAACGTGTAGGTCTCTCCCGACCCTGTCTGGTTGCACCTGAACACCGTGGCGTTGTGCCCCTTGAAAAGGCCGTCCGTCAGCGGGTACACCGCGTGGTTGAAGATGCCGTCCGATGTCTCCCCGCCTCAGCTCCGAACAGGTGGTCGAAGGTGAAGCTCTTGCCTAGGCAGGAGATCTGGATGGCCACGGCCACGGCGTTCACTCCCCCCGCCGACACTCAGCGACTCACCTCACTCAGTTGCTCCCGCCCGTGAAGCGCATGCCGCGCGAGCATCCGCCACCAATCCGGCCGTCAATTCCGGTCCCTCGCCCGCGCCGCGCCCACTGGCCTACGGTGCGCCCGGCGTGACGTTCAGGCAGGTCTGGCATCCCGCCACCACCTCGCTGTCGATCGGTGGCCGTATGTGCACGGCCACGCACACGGCACAGTCCTCCCTGGGCGCATCGGCTGCCATGGCGCCCAACCGCGCCTCCACCCCCTCGCTCCCCGCCTGATTGTGAGAGGGTAGCAGGTCGGCTGTCACCCGCTCACCGTCAGGCGGAGAGCAAGGGGGTGGCGCCGCGGCTGGGCGCCACGCCGGCGATGCGCCCAGGGAGGACTGCGCCGTGTGCGTGGCCGTGCACACCGGGCGCCGCCCTTTCAGCACGCAGAACGCAGGGCAGGACAAGCTGTCAGGGCGGCTGTCGCATTCGGACAATACTATATCCAGTCCGCTAAGTTGCTGGTGCCCATCAACCACGTCAGCATTCTGCCCCTGCGCTTGATCCCCCCCCGATCAGTCCTGCCAGAAACTCGTTCAAACGCGCCCGCCTATTCAAACTCACGGCGTCCTCGCCAGGTCCATAACGCCGCCGCCCAACGCACCCGCCGTCCCGGCTGCGCCCTGCGCTGCGGCAGGGCCCAACCGCCGCATGGGGTCCCCGCTCTGGGGTCCAGTCGAAGGCGCTCCAAGACGATGCCCATGCCGCCCATGCCGCCGCTCTGGGGGCCTGTTGAAGGCGCACCGAGACGATGTCCATGCCGCCCATGCCGCCCGTGCCGCCGCCCATGCTGCTGCCGCCGTCGGCAAGTAGGGGCCCGCGCAACGACTGGAGGACGGCAGCTCACTTGGGGGACTAGGCGAGTGACGGAGTCGTGAAGAGTGTGTCTTGGGGTGCCATTCGTTCCGACTCACGCATTGGCTTATTTCCATGGGAGCAAGGCAAGACGACGAGAGTGCGCGGACACGACCGTGAGCAGCAGTGCTGGCGATGCATTGGGCCGGCATATCTGGGAGTCAGCAGCAGGCCATGGGCAGCAGTGCTGGGGATGCATTCCGTCGGCGCGATCATCCGGGCGGGGTCCTGGCAAACACCAGGTTGGTGCGCCGCACGTACATTTGGGCTTGTGCTGTCTGAGTGGTCATTGAACACTAGCGGATGGAATGCCACCCTCTTGCAGCTTTGTGGCAGGATGCAGGGCAGGGGCATGAACTTTTTGCTGTTCTGTGTTCTTCCCTTGCCAGCAGGTCCCCAAGCTGTTCGCTAACCTGGATTCTGGTCCCTCGGAAACAGCGCTCACCTGACCGTGCAATACTGCGTGTTGTCGGAGAACACGACGTGGAGAACTCCAGAAC